TGTAAGAGTAATGCACTGTTCTTATTAAAAAAGTGTTAAATCAAGAAAATACTTATTTTTTTTAAGCATATACTTGACAGCAATCTATAACAAATATAATGTATGTCAGAGAAATCCTGCCTCTCCCATGAGTGTAATTATCAAGCACTGGTCAAGAAGAATTTTGATAACAGAAAATTGCATGTCAAATTAGAGAGAAATTAATGGGTTTTGAGTGCGAGGAGCTAGCATTGGTGTTATCTATATCCCTTGAGTATTGGGCAAATGGGTAAGCCTGTTTGATTAAAATTAGCTCTTGTTGACTAGCTTAAGTTTTAAAATGAATTTGATGAAAAGTAATTAAAACTAATTTGATATTGCATAATAGACTAATCTGATATTATGTAATATTATTAATTTAAAAACTAATTTTTTGGGGTGGGGTGGAATCAGCATGTCCATATGAATTACATATTAAAACTTGTTGGACATTAAATCTCAACCAAAAAAAAAAATCTTTGAGTATTTTATTAAATTTATAGTAGATAGTGCAGACCCATTCATCTCTTGGTAGTAATGAGTAGACAAGCATCCAGTTAAAGATTAATTAATGAGTTCAATGTAGGAAGGCTAGTTGTCTCAGTCGCTCTGATTAAGCAGTGACCTTATCTGTACCCTTTGGGGATTAGACAGAAGAACTGCTGGTCAGTTTATAACGTATGTCATTTGATGGCCAGCCTTTTCTTTTCAAAATTAATTTGGTATAGATTAAGTTGTTAAGACTAATTTGATGATGGGCATTTGACAAGGTCTAACACAACCAGCACAGAAATCTATCAGTGATGTAATATTTATTATAATTGGTGCCTACATCACAGGGGATGGATAAATATTTTAAGGAATGGAAAAATCATCAAAATCTTAGAATCAAGGTTGATGTGATTTTCTTGCACCTAAACTGTTCAAGAAAATTGTAATTTTTTGACGGGCGTATCATGCTGTGGCGCGGCACTTTATTGTACTTTGTTTTAACAGTAATTGCTTGACAGTATGGGCTTATCTAAAATAAAAGTATAATATAATAGGTTCTAGGGCATTATTATCACACTGAAGCTGTCAACTGTGACCATTAAAATTTTTTGTTGGTTCATATGTTAGAAAAATGCGTGCTTATCGCAGAATTCTCCGTTATATACCAGAATTCTGTAATTTCTTGCAGACATGAAGACTTCAAGACAGTAGATTTATCGGTTTCACACGGTTGTTTTCTTGTTCTGTCTTTAATGCGATAACCCTTTACATTTCACCATTTTAATGGAATGCAGACATTTTATTTGAAAAATTGAAACTTATAAAAATTATATATAGTACATTCCTGGTAGTTAAATACATATTAAATCCAAACAAAAATTATGAATTGGACTAAAAACACATCAGATTTGTGTTTCTAACTGCATGATACTCTCCGCTTCAGAAAGATGGAATGGTTGCATTTTCGATAACATATAATGCGTATTAGAACACATGAATAGAAAAATACTTTGTCTCAAATTGAAAAGAAAATTATATTGGAAAGAGGGGAACATTTAAAAGTATTCCATGTCTGTGCGTGATTCAATCAAATAGTTCATTCCGGCAAGCTTGGATCTCCCTAAAATGTCGGAAAGGAAAATTGCGATAATCTAAGATGTGGTTCCATTTCGTTCCGCAAAGTACCGATATCCGTGTGGATATTGGTAATTTGCGGAACGGAACGGAACAAGATTTGGTCATTTTGAAACAGTGTTTCTTTCCTCTTCTTTTCAAATATAAATGGTGTTTAACTTACAGAAAATGAAAAGTTAACAAAACTTTTTGTTTGATTGTATTTAAAAAAAAAGAATTTTTAGGACTGTCGTCAAAATAATTTTAATGCTGAGCATGATTTTCATTTCAATTCCTTACAGGACACAAAACTTATCTCACGTCGTTCATTAACAGAGTTTTAAAACTGTCACAGAGCAATCACCCAAGTTAATTAATTGTAAATGAGAGAGTTAGAAGTTCTGATAGGTTACAGGTGTGCGGCGCAGGCGTTGTAGCCCTGTATCCCAAGAGTGTGATTTTAGCTTGTTAGAGAGAAAGAGAGGGAGAATTATAATTTGTTTATTTGTCATTTCTGTTATCGATGTTTATTGTGCGTGATAGAGTTCTGAGAGATGAAAGTGAGCATTAGATTGATTTGTGTGAGAAAGTGGGCCCTGGGAACATGTGTGTACAAGTCTGAAAGTCAATGAGTGTGGACGTGTCTTTTTATTGTGAACATTGTGATTTCTTATAGATATATCTTGTGTTGTAAATATGTAAATAAATGATGTAAATAAAAACAATCGTCATTATTAACCATTATTGAGGAACCCCGTCACAAAACCTTTGATATAATAGTTCCGTTCCGTTTCGCAAAGTACTAATATTGTAGTGGATAATGGTATTTTGCGAAACGGAACGGAACCTGTTGTGTGTGTTTCTTTTCTTATTAGCGCAGAACTGAATATTTAAGATATCGATCAAGATTCAGGTAGTAAACATATTTGTTAGCATACAGCAAATTGCAAATCACGCGTTTTAAGATCTACCTTTACATAATAATGTTAAACTTATTTTGCATATCGATTTAATTGAAGACAGAGAGATTGTATTTACAACAAGGCCTGCGATTGTATTTGTACATATAACTGATATAAAGACTAGACTTTTGAAGAAGCTTGAAAGGTTAAAAAAAAATATGCTTTATTATGCTGGATATATATGATGGATGAATTATTTCCTCTTCAAACATCCTTGTCTCATATATTTCTTTCCCCTGAATTTATGATGATTGAAAGGATGGGATGAAATGAATAACAACAAAATGCTTGTATGTTTATCATCCCATTCCAACTTAACTGTGTTTCGTTCCGTTTCGCTAAATACTAATACCCACACGGATAATGGTATTTAGCGGAACGAAACGGAACCAAAGATGACCATACTGGCAAAGCGCGACAACTCTCTTTACCTTTAGACTGCACATGAACGACATTTTTTTCATAATAATCTATTGACAGTAAACTTTGAAGGCAAAGCATTAATAATATTTTATATCAGTGATAGGTGTACGTCTCTCATTAAAAACAGTTCACAAAGTCACTACAGAAATAATTAGTAGTATTCAGCGGAACTAAACAAATCTCAGCAAAACTAAAACACAATGGAATAAATATATGAAGAAATAAGTTGTTACGTCAATGTCATATATTTTCCTTTAATTAAAAATGACTTGTTCTCTCAGTTAAACTAATTTTGGAATATTCTGATTTACCCAGGATTCATGAAAGCTAAAAAATTGGTTGATGAATACTACGGCAGATTTAGGTTGTTTTTGGTTGGTTCTTGTTTTTTTCTCTTCAAATAAAAAGATGTGGTTCCGTTTCGTTCCGCAAAGTACCGATATCCGTGTGGATATTGGTAATTTGCGGAACGGAACGGAACAACATTTGATCATTTTGAAACACTTTTTCTTGCCTCTTCTTTTCAAATATAAATGGTATTTAACTTACAGAAAATGAAAAGTTAACAAAACTTTTTGTTTAATTGTATTTTTTAAAAAAAAAAAAAGAAGAATTTTTAGGACTGTCGTCAAAATAATTTCAATGCTGAGCATGATTTTCATTTCAATTCCTTACAGGACACAAAACTTATCTCACGTCGTTCATTAACAGAGTTTTAAAACCTTTGATATAATAGTTCCGTTCCGTTTCGCAAAGTACTAATATTGTAGTGGATAATGATATTTTGCGAAACGGAACGGAACCTGTTGTGTGTGTTTCTTTTCTTATTAGCGCAGAACTGAATATTTAAGATATCGATCAAGGTACAGGTAGTAAACATATTTGTTAGCATACAGCAAATTGCAAATCACGCGTTTTAAGATCTACCTTTACATAATAATAAAGTTAAACTTATTTTGCATATCGATTTAGTTGAAGACAGAGAGATGGTATTTACGTTTTCCTATCAACATCAAGGCCTGCGATTGTATTTGTATACATAACTGATATAAAGACAAAACTTTTGAAGAAGCTTGAAAGGTTAAAAAAAAAAGATATGCTTTATTATGCTGGATATATGATGGATGATATACTTTCCTCTTCAAACATCCTTGTCTCTTATATTTCTTTCCCCCTGAAATTTTGATTATAAAAAAGATGAGATGAAATGAAATACATAAAATGCTTGTATGTGTATCATCTTATTCCAACTTAACTGTGTTTCGTTCCGTTTCGCTAAATACTAATACCCACACGGATATTGGTATTTAGCGGAACGAAACGGAACCAGAGAATGACCATACTGGCAAAGCGCGACAACTCTCTTTACCTTTAGACTGCACATGAACGACATTCTTTTCATAATAATCTATTGTCAGTAAACTTTGAAGGAAAAGCATTAATATTTTTTTTTAAATCATTGATAGGTATACGTCTCTCATTCAAAACAGTTCACATAGTTACTACACATGACACAGCAGATCAAAAACTTAACGGCAGAATAATTCATAACTTATAGACATTTTATTTTATGGTCCTTTACTTCAGACACTTGACACTTTCTTTGGTTGGTTCCCTAAGATATAAAATGGCAGAATAATTTGTAATAAAGTAACTTATTATATTCATTTTCATTATATATAATATATTCATATTTATCCCCCCCCTAGGGTGCCCCACAACTGGTTCCGTTCCGTTCCGTTTCGTTCCGCAAAGTACCATTAGAGATAAGTGGACAGGCTTTCTCTAAAGAGAATAGGGTAAGGAATTACATAACTATTATAATGGGTCAAAATTCTCATGCTATCCTTTAAAGCCTATTAGCTCTTTTGGTCTAATGTATGGTCTTTTTAATCATGTCAAACTTTAATTAGTGAAAAAGAAAATTGATAATATGACCTTGGTCATCTTATAATCTTGACTGTCGTGAAAATAATTAATCTGACTCCCAAAAAAATTGCTTGTCCCTCTTTAATTCAGACGTCCCCTTCGCCACTGATTACAAAAATTACATAATTAATCGAAGTTCTTTAAAAGAAATTTTCTATTAAAAAAAGTTTCGTTGCGCGTTTCACTGACAAATCTTTTATATCTTGTTCCAGTCCAGTGTATACATGTCGTCACGTTTCTGTTTTCTAATAGGAATCTGATCCCTCACTTCGTTCACGTAGGCTGGATCAATAACAGCAAACAGAACAGTCTCTTTTTCTTCTGTTGTTGCTATAACTTGCCCCCAAGGGTTAATAACACTGCTGTGGCCCCAAGCCACATAACTAGCTCCTGTGTCACGAGCTGGAGAAACCGTGGCAACGTATAGTTGATTATCCAGTGCACGCCCTCTTTGCAATAACTCCCAGTGAGCAGGGCCAGTTGTCATATTGAAAGCACCAGGGTAAACCAAAAGTTTGCAATTCTCTTTTGCATAGACATGTGCCAATTCTGGAAATCGTATATCATAGCATATTCCGACGCCTACTTTGCAATAAGGCGTGTCGAACATCGTAAAACTGTTTCCAGGGCTCAAAGTCTCTGATTCTTGGAATCTGATTTTTCCAGGAACATCAATGTCAAATAAATGGATTTTCCTATGTTTTGCAACTATTTCACCTTTAGGATCAAATACACAGCAAGTATTAAACAGTTTACCATCTTCTTCCTCGGGAATGGATCCTCCGATCAGATAAATGTCGTTATCTTTTGCCATGCTTGCCAACGAATGAGAAGAGGTTCCTGGAATTTTTTCGGCATATTCTGGAAAATAAGAGGTTCCATATGGCGAGTTAAAACACTCTGGAAGAGAAACAAGTTTAGCTCCTTCCTTTGCTGCATGTGAGACCAATTGCGATGCTCGTTTTAAGTTGTCAGCTTTGGTTGCAGACACCGCAAGTTGTATCAAAGCAATTTTGAACGACATTATTTTTAGAGTGACCTCCCTTTGTGCCTTTCATGGATTGGATATTTGCAGTACGCGTATCGGAGCCATGTTCCGGGACAATTTACTGACCAGTACCTGACAATCGGGTTTCTTAAACTTGTAATACATTTTAAAATGGTGTATGAAAGAAAAAAATATTTGAAGAGAAAATCTCCTACAAAATACTTAATTTATAAAGCACCTAAAACTTTGTGATCAATCAGTAGAAACTGGACTTGAAAAAATGAACGGGAAAGATACAATCACCTCCGTCCCAGCCTCAAATGATTTTTAGCTCACCTCAACGAAGTTGGGGGAGCTTATGTAATACCCTCGGTGTCGGCGTCGGCGTCGGCGTCGGTGTCGGTGTCGGCGTCGGCGTCCCAGGTTAAGTTTTTTGGAGCAGTTTTCTTTTTAAGTACTTCTATGTCCTATATTGATTAGACATGCATGGAAGATGGTTCTAGTGTGTTTCATTGTACCAGTCAAAGTTTCAGATGCTGCAATTTCAGCCAAGGAATGACCAGGTTAATGTTTTTGGAGCAGGTTAACATTTTTGGTGCAGTTTTTGGTGTAGGTTTCATTTCCAAGTAACTATAAGCCCTATGTTGACCAAACTTGCATGGATGGTACATCTAAGGATGCATACTAACAGGCTTGCTTCGGATGCTGAATCTGACCTACATTTTCTGGTTGAGTGAACAGGTTAAAGTTTTTGGTGCAGGTTTCATTTCCAAGTAACTATAAGCCCTATGTTGACCAAACTTGTATGGATGGTACATCTAAGGATGCATACTACTGGGCTTGCTTCAGATGCTGAATCTGACCATCATTTTCCGGTTGAGTGAACAGGTTAAAGTTTTTGGTGTAGGTTTCATTTCCAAGTAACTATAAGTCTATATTGACCAAACTTGCATGGATGATACATATAAGGATGCATACTACTGGGCTTGCTTCAGATGCTGAATCTGACCTACATTTTCTGGTTGAGTGAACAGGTTAAAGTTTTTGGTGCAGGTTTCATTTCCAAGTAACTATAAGCCCTATGTTGACCAAACTTGCATGGATGGTACATCTAAGGATGCATACTAACAGGCTTGCTTCGGATGCTGAATCTGACCTACATTTTCTGGTTGAGTGAACAGGTCAAAGTTTTTGGTGCAGGTTTCATTTCCAAGTAACTATAAGCCCTATGTTGACCAAACTTGCATGGATGATACATCTAAGGATGCATACTACCAGGCTTGCTTCGGATGCTGAATCTGACCTACATTTTCTGGTTGAGTGAACAGGTAAAAGTTTTTGGTTCAGGTTTCATTTCCAAGTAACTATAAGCCCTATGTTGACCAAACTTGCATGGATGATACATCTAAGGATGCATACTACCAGGCTTGCTTCGGATGCTGAATCTGACCTACATTTTCTGGTTGAGTGAACAGGTCAAAGTTTTTGGTGCAGGTTTCATTTCCAAGTAACTATAAGCCCTATGTTGACCAAACTTGCATGGATGATACATCTAAGGATGCATACTACCAGGCTTGCTTCGGATGCTGAATCTGACCTACATTTTCTGGTTGAGTGAATAGGTTAAAGTTTTTCGTGAGTGATTCATTTCCAAGTAACGATAAACCCTATGTTGACCAAACTTGCATGGATGATACATCTAAGGATGCATACTACCAGGCTTGCTTCGGATGCTGAATCTGACCATCATTTTCTGGTTGAGTGAACAGGTTAAAGTTTTTGGTGTAGGTTTCATTTCCAAGTAACTATAAGCTCTATATTGACCAAACTTGCATGGACGATGCATCTTAGGATGCACACTAATGGACTTGCTTCGGATGCTGAATTCAACATACATTTTTCAGTTAATAGACCAGGTAAAAGTTATGGGTGCAGGTCTATTACCAAAAAACTATAAGGCTTATACGAGGGTTGTCCCATAAAATCGTGGACAAAGCGTTTTTCTCGAAAAGTAGGGTGGGGGGGGGGGGTTGAACGATTTTTGAATAAAGTTGTCCAACAGTTTTCAGCGAGAATAAGTATAAAACTCATGCACTCTTATAATCCTAGAAATAAAATATATTGTCATGTTAAGCCATGACCTGACTCGACAATTTTTTACCCCCCCCCCCCTTCCTAGAATGGGCGCACTAAGCTGAAATTTTCAGTAAATGTTTATTCATCATATTTAAGTGAATCATAATGTTTTTTATAATATATATTCAGAGATAAAGATTTTATTCTGCTTGAATGTGCACAAGGTATTGTCCTACGGCGCACGGTAAAAATCGCAAGGTTATATTAGAGAAGACATAAGAATTATTTCGTAATAAAAGTTTCCAATACATAAGATTAGGATGAAAATTATCCTTATTCCATTCCTTAATCAATTCTGTCGTCTTTTTAAAAATTTCAAGGCATTTGGTTAATTTTTGGCAGTTTCCCGAGCATCTGAAATGGGAAAATAATAAACACAATACACGAAAAATGGCGACTTTTTATGACGTTACGGCGCACCGGAGAGCAGTTTAGATAGATTAGGATGTTGTAATGACGCCTTAAGAGACTTTAAATGAATACAGAATAAATAAAATGTGAAAAATAGCACCAGATCTTTAGTATATAAATGAAATGAAAGTTTTCTTAGTGAAGTCTTCGTGGTCGAGTCCCCAGATAGTACAAAACATATGGACAGACTGCCATTTGGAATAGCAAAGGGCGCTGTCACTGTCGACCGTCAATGTGAGATTCTCTTTTAGTTGAATGATGGTGAGAATACTGTCTGTAACTTGCTAATAAATATTCAGAAGATCGCATGAGTGTGGCACATTGGTTTCTTAACTGGTTATAGATACTCACATATGTAAATCAATAAAAATTTATAAATTTAAGTGGGGCTTATTCAACTTTAAGTTTAGCAAACATGAAGCGTGACTCTGTTTTAGACACGTCGACGTTATCATCCGTGCGCCGTAGGGCGATACAGTACATAACATAAAATATCATAATTTGTTTACCTATGCATATATTTATTTGAAATTTGCTATGTATATTCATAATTTATCTACTAAAAAGTGGTGAAAATTTCAGAACGCAGTGATGATTATTTTTCAAACTAGACAACTTGTCCACGATTTTACGGGACAACCCTCGTATAACATTGTATAAACCAAACTTGCACAAATGTTGCATCAAGAGATGAAAACTCTCAAATTTGCTTCAGATGCTGGATTTTGATTACATTTTCATGAAGAAGAACTAGTTTAAATTTTTTATGTAGGTCTATTTCAAAGTATCAGATCAAAATTGCTTAAATATTTTCATTTTTGGAATGTACACTTTTTGTTGGTTAATTGTGTGACTTTGCCTTACTTAAAGACAACATTCGTTGAGGTGAGCTCTGTAATCTCTGATTACCTATGTTTCTCAATGTAATCAAAGTTCACCTGTGAATGCTAATTCTTCTGCAACTGAAAACATTGGTGAGCCAGGTACTGATAAGCAACCCCCCTTTATCCAAACTCAGGGTAAAACTTTCAGTCTACCAGAGTTAATATTCAACTCCATGAACAGCCAAACTTTTATGGCCCAGTTAATACCAGTGCTTGCAGAAGCTATCAAACCCTCCATCGAGCTAGCAGTCCAGTCTGTTTTCAGCTCATTAAATAAAACAATTCAGAACCAAGCTGAAACAATTTCAAAACAAAATAAACAAATTGTTGATCTCACAGGGCGTTTAAAAAATTATGAAGACCAAAACAATGATCTACAAAATCAAATCTGGAATCTTGAGGATACAGTAGATGACCTAGAGCAGTACGGAAGGAGAAATTCCTTAAGATTTCACAATTGCCCGGTTCCCGACCAAGGCACAGACACGGATGCTAGAATAATTTCTATATGCAATCGGCACTTATCCGTAGAGCTTAAAGAGGATGACATTTTTAGGTCACATCCCATTGGTAAACCCAACAAAGATGGCAATATTCAAATTATATGTCGCTTTAAAAATTGGAAAGTAAAAAATAAAATCTACACAGCGAAACGAAAGCTAAAAGGCTCTACGATATTTATAACCGAAGACCTTACTAAATACAGACAATCAATTGTCAAAGAACTGGCAAGTGCGAAACGTGCTGAAAAAGTACATTCCTTTTGGACAAGCGATGGACGGATATTTACCCAGTTGTGCGAAAAGGGTCGCAAATACATGATCCAGTCTATTAGAGATTTGTATGAACTGGCCCCACCACAGTCCTATCCACCAGAGGATGTTATTTCTGAGGACATGTAAGTCCGGTACCCATTAACTATTAAGTGGTGTTTCAATTCATCAATAAACCTGAAATCAAAAGTGTTTAAAGCAATCTTAAATTTAGACTTTTCAAATTAATAATAATTATTAATTCATATCAGTATGGACTATTTAAGATATTTCTTGTTTACCTCTAAACTCTCCCATTACAATTACAGTATGACTACTGTTACTTGGAAAATCTTGTACATAGTACATTTACTTTTATTGTCATTCAACAATGCATCTGTCACTACGCGCCATGTTTTGACTAGTGACACAGAGGTGCCATTTTCCTCATGCTTGTTCGCAATTTTTATTTTGTTTCCTTCATTATTGTTCTGTTCTTTTTTGTTTTTTGATTTCTTTCTACGCAAACTTTTTTTCAACGTTTTTTCGTTTTTATTTTTAACCAAAGGTCATACAAACAAATTTGCATGTTTACTTATTATATGTCTCCTTGTGGCTGGTTCAAATATTGCTTTATACGTCTCTCTATGTCTTGAAAATGGCTAATACAATAGAACAATATCGGGCCGCAATCGGACTTTTCTATTGTAAGTGTAGATGTACATCAAAATCACTGCTATTTTATGTACTAAGATTTAATGATTTTGTTTATTTTTTTATTGAGTGTCTTACTTATATTTGGAATGATTAACTTAAGTATTGTAGACACTCATGTTCTGTTATGGGGAGATAATACGATCAGTATTTCTGAAAATGAAAGTTTATT